TTAACGTTTGAAAAATGAGTGTTATCATTGGGTTTGCATGACATGATTCAACCATCCAAAGTTAGGGGCTAGACTCTCCCCAAATGCAGCACGAGGAAGCAACACATAAATTAAAATAAAACACTTGAACTATGATCACCTAAAATGGTTGACAACCACCGAAAAGCGTACAATTGCATTCAAGCTCGGTTCATGTGCCGAATAACTAATGACCGAATAACCGAGATGTACTGATGATGGGTCATTCACATTTTGCATAAGCACTGCACGCAGGCAGTTGCAGTAACAAGAAGCACGCACACGATCCCAAATCATAAATTGTCAAATCTCTGAATGCCAATTCGCTCTCTCACATCGCACCAGAGTCTGTGTGCCGGAAAAGCAGCCGACCAGCTTGTGTGAGCTGCTAATCCACTACTGTACACGGTCTACCAAAAGGACGGGAGCCTAAGTGACCGCACGCCGCACTTTCTACGAGAAAAAGAGGAAAGGTCCTCGACAACAACCGGATCCATAGGGATCCGACCCTCGATCGACCACCCAGCCAACCCAGTCCCAGCGAAGGGACCGGAGTCAACCGCGTCCACCAAGCCAAGCCCAACGACACCACGGAGGGCCTTAACCCACTCACGGAACAGCCTGGACATCCTTGGCACCACGAAGGAATTCAAGACCGACTCATCCAACACGTGCCACTTACCCTCGAACCAGAAAGGTGGCAACTGCCCCGTGTCAAAGACAAACTGCCACAACAACTCAACAGCAGAGGTGTGGGACCAGCCAGCCGCACAAGTGCCATACCACCGGAGCGTCCCAAGCCACCGCACAAGGGTGTCCCCAAACATGACATGGACTTGCGAGCCCGCCGCAAGAGCCTCAAAACCAGCACCACCACGCCCGCACACAGCGAACCCAGCCGGGTCAAGAGGCAAAACGGGGGCCTGATCCACTTCCACAAAGGCTGAGCAATGGCGACCTGCAAGTCGGCCAATTTCACAGCAAGTTCCTTACATTCCTGCACCTCAGTAAACAGTCCCCGAAAGCTTGCCACCCGAGCCCTGGCAACAACGACCTTCTTCGCCTCGACATCAGCGTAACCGTTGAAGACCGCCAAGATGCGCTCCTCCCCTTGCAAAGACGCTGGGCACCGATGCGCCTTCACCCAACGTACAATGGAGGGACCCCAAGAACGCTCTGCAGTGCGGCTACAGAAAAATTGCCACAAATCCCGATGCTCTGTGGGCAAGCAACTTTGCCGTTGCTCGAACGGCATCTTGAGGAGCCGGGTAGCGACCTTAACCACCTCCGAGTTGTCACAAAAGACAGTGACACTGGCAAAGGAAGCCAACGCAACGGTGATGGCCAGCAACTCTGCCCTGAAACTGGACTGTTCCAAACCCGGAACAAGCCCAGCCCAGACAACCTCATAGCGCCCGGTGCGATGCGCGAGGATAACCGCACCACCGGCAACACTCAACCTGGGATTTCTGGGGGACAGACAGCAATGCCAATTCGCTGCTTAGGTTTTGGATATTCAACCTTCAGGACGTAAACTGCAAATATTGTTTTTTGTCATTTTTGGGTAACGGTCAAAATCACTTTTCAGCATGAAATGGGCCACCACTTCACAAAACCCGCAAAACGCACTGTTTAAGAGTTGGACATCTTCTAACCCAACAACGCATGAGATATGAACCCATGCGTCCTCAAATGTTCCGGACATTTTTTTAAAGAGATTCCCATGAAAAACTGAAAAGAAATGATGATCAACCAGCATTTAGCACTGGACGACTTGGAGTTTCCAAACCTTTCCACTTCCACAACTTCCCGCACCTGCGACCAATTGCGAGCTGTTACTCCAGGTCCTGCGACGAAAGTATCCAGGCTTGGCACTGTATATTGTTCTGTTTGGTAAACCTTCAAGAAAATGAACATGTAATATGTACATATCGATACATACATATATACATATATATATATTATATATACACACATAGACATACGTAGACATATGTATATATATATATTATCATATCTACATATTTCCACAAATCTATATACACAATTCAAAACCTATTGCAGGGGGCAACAAGTCAACCACCGCGGACAAACAAACCCATCGCCATCGTCCCGGACGCCTCTGAGGCGGGCTGCGCCTCAGTCATCATCTAACCAATCATGGAATGTTAACCATATATCATAAGCATAACCATAATGATGGTTAGTAAATGTTAAGGGAGGGTTAACATGGTTAACCATGTTTAATGATCATCATTCCTTTACTAACCATATATGAAAGTTACTACAGTAAATACCAAAGTTACTAAAGGGTGGGGATGATGATGTTTTAAAGTTACTAAACCATCCAAATGAAGTATTAAAGTTATTAAAGGGTGGGAAATGTTCAGACCCATTCAGTGAGAATGATGTACCTTTTAAAGATTGTGTTTTTCCATAGCAAACTGTCAAATTGCCAGAGGGTAGCCAGTTCGTAACTAACTTAGACTTGGAACTAAACTAGAACTGGTGCTATACATTTTTGGGGGGCTGGTGACCTGGTTGGTGATTGAATTGATTGAATTGTTCAGGAGAATCCACCCAAAATACGATGGTTGAGCAAATCATGTTACACCACTATTTAGTGGCAAGTTTGTGGTATCCGCTCCGGTTCTTTGGACAAACCCAAATCGAATCACTAGTCATTTTCGACATTTCACTGTTGGCTTGAGATGTTCAGATCTACCCAACGATTGTCACTTGGAAATCACTACATCACCACCCAGTGGCAAAAAGCTTTTCCACGGCAGTGTGGTTTCGCAAAGGTTTCGGTGCTGACACAGACAGGTGCGATTCGAGCTGCGACGAGGTCGATGGCCACGCAGCCAGAGCCGTCAGAGATTGCATGGGAACGCCTGCGCCAAAGCCGTCGGAAGGGTATAGCAACCCTTAGAGAAAAAGATGGTTTTATGTTGTGGAAAGGGTTGCTATACCTTGGTATATGAACAACAGTTGGTTAATGTTACGTGGTGGTATACTTAAGAACCCTGCAGAAAAGTTGTGGAAACTTGTTGTGTATGGTGTTTATGGATCCTGTTTTCACACTTGTTGGCATCTGTTTGGGGGCTACTATATATGGAAATATCCCATGAACCAAAGGTACAGAACAACCCATTAATAGTAATATACGCCTATCCCATTGATGTATATATATATATACAACAAGCTGATCTTATGCGGGAATCCTGTTCATTATAGGGTTCGATGGGATATGTGAATAACCAGCTTAATTCATCTTGCTGGTTGTATACATGGGGATATCATATGGCCATATTGTCTTAATCTATAATTAATAACTATGGATTATATATGAATTGACCCTTGGGAATAGACTTAAAAAGAGTGTTGATTTGGGTTCAGATGGGTTTAGTACCCAGGAGTCAGAAGTGCGGAAGAACTATATGCAATATCCCGAGTTTTTCATGGGTTATAAACCACTTACGACTCCTGGCATGTCGACCCCAACATGAGGAGATCACCACCCAAAAACAGGGATCTGTCCAAACATTGGCGAGATAAGCAGTATGGAGAATCTGACCAAAGATCGGGGTTTACCCCCCAATTTATAGCAATTTTAATAGCAAGATTGACGATAAACCATCCAAATTGGGATGTGTTCACCTCAATGTTCAGGTACAAAACCCGTACAAGCAACAAAATCACCCGATGTTTTTCGCCCAGTTTCCTCGATCTCAGACCTTTTCGGTTATGCACTTAGATTACTTGGATTGGTATGGCTCAGCGATAGCCGCGTTAGCCCCCCGACTGATATCCAATTACATTCCCATCATAGCATCATTTCATGGTTGGTAGTCGAATCCGCATGATAGTTCCATCGTCATCTCCATGAAGTCCCAGTATAATCCCTGTTGATTTAATCCCCGGGTTGATGGTTACCCTCTGGTAAACTAACATAACTATGGAAAATCACCATTTTTAATGGGAAAACTCACTATAATTGGGGTATTTTCAATAGCTATGTTAGTTTACCAGAGGGTAAGCTCTATGTTGAGCAGTTCAACCAACCATTTTTGTCGATGAAGTCCCCATGTCTGCAGTTTCTACTTCTTTGTCCGCCTTGGTCCGGCATCCGCATCCACACGCCTGCGAGTCTCTAGCAAACAAACATGGATGTGGTGTCGATCCAGCATTTGTAGATGATGGATGAGGACATAGGTATTCTTTGACATAAAAGTAACAAGACGTTATCAATCCTCTTTCCTGTTTGTATATATATATATATGCATGCATGTATGTATGTGTATATGTATATGTATGTTCTATCATAGGTGCAAAAGTGATAATTCTGAGAGCAACTCGATATGATACACAATTTATCATGTATTCAAAGTAGTGTCTATATGATTGTGGTTATGAACGTGGTATGGGGAACATCAAGAATCCAAGTCGGGATATCTATGAAAACGATTGTAACCAATAACTACAAGTAGTTAGGTTTAGAAAAAAAAGAAAACAAATGATAAGATACCCTACAAAAGCGAAACATGATAAAATTATATTTATATATATACATGTCTCAATCAATTTTGAAAAGAGAAAAAGACGTTGACCTACCCAACAAAGGCTTGCCCAGGCATCAGGCATTCCGAGCTATCATTATGGGACCCTACTCATCACTCATTGCTGTTCGCGGGTACTTCGGCAGATAATTTTTGTGGCTAGAAAATCCCCTATGCAAAAAATGTATGTATGTATGTATATATATATATGTATCTATATATATATATGTATCTATATATATATATTTCTGTCTGTCTGTCCGTCTGTCTGTCCGTCTGTCTGTCTGCCTGTCTGTCTGTCTGTATGTCCGTACGTACGAACGTATGTATGTGTATATATATATATATACAACAAGGGCCCTCACTGACGACAGCTAGTTTGCAACCGTCTGGCGACCCCTTTTTTTGGAGCCGGGCGTGGCCTCAGTCTTGTCTGTATAAGGGCTGGCTACACTGAATGAGAATCGCATTCCCTTCTAGCCATTCCCGATCTTCTCCAGCGAGCTGCTCCAGTTCGGTGGTCCAGACATTGGATGTGACAATAAGAGCGACATTCCAAACCCAGATGCGATAAACATACATGCCTGTCGCCGAGTGCCCAAGTGAAATTTCGGCAGGCGGCGCCTGAAACAATTTTTTGTGCTTCAAGACAAGATGGACACTAGCTTCATCAAACACCACACACCGGTGCCGTAGCACATCATATTCCCTCATGTCGGGCTCCAACACCCCAGAACAATTGGTTTCATACGTGTGATCTGCGCCAAAGAGAGACCGTGCATAGACAGTCTTCCCCAGGCGCGTTGGGCCATTCAGCACCAAGAATTTTCGGCGATGCATAGGCCGCGTGAACTGTGGCAAGAACAGCTGCGTCACTTCTGGTAGTTCCACTGGCTCTTTCTGCAGTGGGCGCAAGAGCTCTGCTGCAGCAGCCTGCTGCTGCTGAATGTACAGCTCCCGTTGTTTCTGGCCATGGTACTTCAGGTTCTCACAGTAAGCACGAATGTTGCGCTTGCATTGGACGTAGTGCTGCCCGGCACACTCCTTGTTAATCTTATCCCCCTGCCAAAGTCCAGTCACCCAGTCGGGGCTCACTGTGAAAGTCTGGTATGCTGGGCAAGTGGTCTGGCGAAAAATGGACCCTTTCTTCTCGACTTGGAGATAAAAGTGCCCTTGATCCAGTGCACGACGGACTGACCGCCCACGAGCCTGCGAGCAATCCAAGGAGATGTGCGGCTTGCACCCACGAAATGCCAAACTTTGTCCAGACAGATGCACTTGTCGCCCTGGCCGCAACATGAGGGTGCATGGGCCAGGAAGGTACGGTGCTAGAGCCTATCTGGTTCTGTTAGCCAGCAGAACCAAACATGAAACAGGACCGAAAAGTATGGGGAAGGTGCGTCCTCACATTGGGCTGCGAAAAAGAATGACTGGCACTGGGAATGAAAGAAAAAATTACATGATTCAGGCTTGCGAGAGAGGTGCCCGCATTGCTGCCGAGTCGCGGGTGTCAAACATCATGTGCAAGTGAATGGAAGGCACTCTGCGTTGCAGCGTCACCTCTGTGTGGAGCTCCAGGGCGGTGCTGACCCGTTCAAAGCGGTACTTGTTGCCGAGCTCGGTCATCCAACTTTGAAAGTCATTCCAAATGGCAAGCACCTGCGGTGCGTTTCGTAGGCCGGCACTGAGCAGATCAATGTCGACAGATGGTCCTGCCGCAAGAAGGTCCAAGGAAGGTTGATGCTCAATCATGCTAAAGGAGCCACTGTATCGGAACATAGTACCAGTGCCCTTGTATGCTTGCGGCGATGGCTCGTTGACAATCGGCTCTTCGACATGCCACCCTGCCAGTAGGTCACGTGCAGCACGTGCAAACTTCACAGGAATTTGCGGCAACATGTCGCGCAAAATCTGCGGCCTGTCGGCTTGTGCAAATGAAGCTCTCCACCGCTGCCGCTTGGCGTGTCCGTGCTCATTCCGAGCGGCCATTCGCTGCGCAGCCCATTTGTCGCGCAGCCATATCAGCAGCTGCTTGCGTGCCTCCCGGTCAGGGGGGCTGTCTGGCGGCGGCTGCTTACCACAGAGTCGCCGTCGGACAGGCATGGCGGCACTGTGGCTCAATGATCATGTTCTTGTTTTGCTGTGTGACATGAAGGGGCCCTCATGGGAAGTTAATACCCTGGCAGCTAAGCAGTCGATGACAAAGCGACCGTACAATGAACAGCATGCAATGCCTCACCATGCTCTGTCTGGATGTGGGCACGGCGGCGGCACACAAACAGCAGACCAAGCCTGCTCACAGGCATGAGGACAAGCAAGCTTCCCATAGAGGAGCAGGAGATAGACGCGTCAGTTCTGGACATTGATGAGTTCAAATTGGTTATAAATGGGAGTCTATAAGGTCGAAATGGGGTTATGACTACTTATAACTGGTCAATGGCCATAGCTGGTATAATAGCTGGTCTTTCACATAGTGCAATGCACAAGAGCGGGCCAAAGAAAAGACTACAAGGCAAACAAGTGTGGGCAGCGGCTCAGCAGCTTTGTATTCGTCAAGTACGCACGGACTTTCCGCGCCACTCGAGACTGTTGTCCCAGCGCTTGCATGGCTGAAAAACCTTGGCAGGAGCATGGAGAGGACCAAGCGACGGGTATGGACTGCGACAAAACCTAGACGACAGCACGGACAAGATCGGTCGGAGGACCGCGGAGGACCAAGCAACGGGAAAAACTATGGAAAAACGGGGGCAAAAATGGTGGTCCTCCAAATCCGCCTCTGGGAGAATAGAATTATTTGTAGCTACAAGCGAGGTTGGAGGACCATGTTGAAGCATGTTGTTCTGGACCATGTTGAAGCATGTTGTTCTGTGTCGCCACCATTCTAAAGGTGTCCCTTCCCACAGGCATGGTGCTTTTCTTCCTCCTCTGGGTCTACAGACCTATATAGACATATCTATATCTACCATAGGTGGCATGACCTATCCCCATCTCCAAGCTGTAACCTTGGCTTGCCATGGGCCTTGGCTTGCGCCACGATCTTCTCTGCGATGCTGTCCATGCCTCGATGGGGATCTGGCGGAGCCAGCAGGTACCTATGGGGAGGTCAAACATCCGGAAAAAAACCATCTGGAATTACAATGTATTGGTCCAACTGGTTGGAGAACCATAGGAAAACCATAGGAAAATATGGAGAATCCACCTTGAAGTCGTTTCACAGTTCTTCAAACCGAAAGTGTTGCGTTTGGCAAAGCTCAGCTGTGCCTCGTAGATTTTCTGCCCGCGTCTCCTAGATTTTATTCCAGTCATTATCCCCTTTGGTGGTTTTGGATGGATAGGGCAATTCAGGCATCAACATTCCTTGACTTGGGCAATCCATCCTTTAGGGGGTCATTACACTCCCAAAAATTAGCATAACCCCAAAAATATTGTCGCGGATGAGATAGGGAGGTTCCCGGTTCAACCAACCCTTATATAATATCCAGCAACCAAGCTATCTAATCCGCTGGGGGGGTTCCTACACCGATTTAATCAAATGGGGGTGTGCTTCGAAGTTGCTACGCACGGAGCGGTTCGCTCCCCCCAATTGACCAAATCAGTTCCTAATTATATACTATTCTCTAATAATAATATATATATATGTATATACAAATATATGTACGTACGTATCTATCATCCCATATCATCTTTGACATGTACTGTCATGAAACATTGCAATCCCAATAATTCACTCACCTGCATGATTTGGCCATTTGGGGATGATTGAGGTCGTTATCATTTACCCTTTTCCGACAATCTACTAATTCATGCAATCACCCTCATTTTGCGGATGCTAGACCTGGGAACTGGGTGTCATGCTGGTTGGTTACCCATCAAAAGTGGTGGTCGAACCGGGGAAGATTGATAGACCTCAACAGCGTTTTACCGTCTGGTAAATTAACATAGACCGTGGGAGATAGGGATGGAAGACTAGTTGCCATTCAACCTTGGTGATTTTCAGGGTCTATGTTAATTTACCAGTGGGTAAATCACTTTAACCATATAGGGATTCGCCAGTCATTTTTTATGGTGGTGCACCGCGGTTGACCATTGGGGATTTATCAAACGATGGGCTTTTATCATTGATTGAGGCTCATGGGTAACTGGCGGGAAATCACCATCAAACATGGGAATTTGACATGAACCAAGAAACCAAGGGTACAATTGCTAGATGTAGATTCACTTCCCCCCTGGACAGGCAGCTGCACCATGTGCCCAGATGCAATGTGGCACAGCACCAGCCGCCAGCACCAGGCGCAAAGGCCCCAGAACGGCAGCAGCATCGCCAGGTCGTGCACACACCAGGCGCAACGGCCGCAGCGCACCAGCATCCATCGCTGCCGCCGCAGCAAGAGAATGTTAAATCACTGACAGGATACGGCGTGTGCTATGTGTCACGCAGTGTTGCGTCAATCAAGCAGGCCTCTGAATCCAATGAATGAATCTGAATCTCTCTAATCACTCCTACAGCCACTATGCAAAGCAGTCCTCTGACTCCACTGACAGAATCGCTCTCACTTCCCACAGCCAACATGCAACATGAGTGGCCGGCTGCGATTGTTTTCAGACACCTTTGGCGTCAGGTTGTGAATCACACATAGGTGCACACTTCGTGTGCAAACTTGCAACTTCCTCACGCGTGTGCGTGACATTGTGACACATGCAGGACGACATTGGCGCCCTTCACGGGCAAATACCAACACAGAGTCTCCTGCATAGCTCTGCACTTGTCAGAGCCATGCCTCTGCAGACAAACTGCAAACATCAGGGACGACCATTGGCAACCTTGACCGCCAACAGCCACGACAAATCTGCCGTGCTCAGTTTCCCAGCTTGCTTCATGATGCGACGGCGTTTTTTCTCCTGCGTCCGGCACAGACAATTTGCTGCAAACAAGCTAGCATTGATCATGGCAGTGCCCTCCTGCGGCATCAGTGATTACAAAGAACCCACAGGTATGGCCATTTACTAGTTATAATTGGTTATAAATGGGATTATACATTCTATAAATAGGGTTATAAGTACTTATAACTGGTAAATGGCCATAACTGCCTGCATGAATGAATGACTGTCGTTGATGGGAAATCAAGACAGGACATTATACCATGTCTGATGGCCACCAGTCTATGTCCTGGCTCTTCACCTCTCGGGTTGCTTGCGCCAACTGCCGCTTCAGCGCCTGTCGCGCTGCTTTCAAATCTGCCAAACGGTCTGCCGGCGGCGCAACGGCCGCAACATCAGCAGGTGCTGCTTCTGACGACATGGCTTCGCAGCAAGTGCGTCAAGGTGAGGGTCACCCAGGGCAAGTTCCTTCTGGCCAAAAGCTTGCAGAGTCTTTTGACAGTTGCTTCAGAGTTGGACGCTGCAAGCACATGCTTGCAAAGAGATGACACTAACACTAGCCCACACGGGGAACCCAAAAATGGGGGCTGGGATTATGCATAAAACTCGGCTTCCACAAGCTGGACCCTAATAGTATCTACATATATGTATCTATATATATATATATTTCTGTCTGTCTGTCTGTCTGTCCGTCTGTCTGTCCGTCTGTCTGTCTGCCTGTCTGTCTGTCTGTATGTCCGTACGTACGAACGTATGTATGTGTATATATATATGTATATATATATATGTATAGATATACATACGTATATGGGAATGGGTCAAAAATTAAGGCCAATTCTCTTCATTTGGTTCTAGGAGCTGAACCATCCTGTTTTAGGGTATCTGACCCATGCCCATATACAGATAGCCACTTCAAAGGGGACCGCAACCCTGGCTGTTCACCAGTGGATTATCTTCCAGTAGACTAACATAGATATCACAAGTCCATGTGTAGATCCTTTCCTAAACAACTGGATTTCCATACCTTACCTTACTGGAGGGTACATGTCACGTGAGTCCTACTATTTCACATATATAAATCCCCAAAAAAAGATTGCCCACATGGTCTTCCCATGAGGAAATCCAAACATCACCGAACACAGCAAGTGCTATTGGACCATCCCCAATACAATGCTTAGTTTCCCATTTAGATTCCCATGGATATCGCTAATCCAAGATTGTCAATTGTCCCAATGATCGTCCATGATGACAAAACATGTCATCCTTAAAATCATCCCATGACAACATGATGTCATGATTCTTGTCTTTACATTATGGAATAGTTCATATTCCATATCAATAGTGAAATAGTGTTCCTGCCAGGATTTAAAGCATCACTATGGACCATCTTAAAAATTCATCCCCCCAGTCTACCCCCCCAAAGAAGAGACCATATCAATGGGTGAGATTGAGACCATCGCCAAATGGCAGGTTTATTCTTGGGTTCATATTATATACATACATACACATGTGTTACCAATGATTTTTTCAGCAATTTGGTAATGATTGGTAATAGTTTTCATGTGGTGTATATAATGGTACCCAATGGACTATTCTCATGATTCAATTCCTAATATCCCTTATGAAGATAGGTGGGTATCACTATATATAATTCCCAAGAATACTCAAATCAGTCTGCGGATTACCGACGGTTATTCGTCTCAATATATCAAACATCCCCAATAATTGGTATATCATTACCAATGATACCCATCTCATGATATATGGCCATAATATATGTTCCATGATATATTCACAATATGTTTTATTTTCATAGTTACAGGATGGTGCCCCTCAGTGATGTGAACGTTGGTTTATAAACCCCATATCTATCGTTTGATCTACCATAAACCATAGAATTCAGCCATGTATATATGAGGCAACTGAACGAAACATCGAATGAGGGCCCCATCCTGTACCAAGTTATTTCCTTATCACCAATGATGTTCATCTCCCCTGGCCTGGACCCTGCCATGGCACGCCGGCGCCAGCCATGCCGGCCGCCATGGGGGCCGAAGGGCGCCTGGTACAGCAAAAAAAGGAGAGAGCTCGAGGGCATGGAGCCTGGTTTATAATGGAAGATTACTACCGCAAAATATGGGTTATGAGTTTTGAGTGTCATGTTCTTGTTATACAATTTCCCATTAAGTTACTAGTCATTTCCAAAGGCTATCTCTTCAGAATGCGTGCGCGCATTGGATTCGGATCTTCTCTGGTGGATGGCGCCGATTTTTTCCCTTGGATTATGATCATCCCCAACAATCCAAAAGGCTAAGTCAATCATCCCACTGTAACATTCAGCTGGCCCAACAGGGCTGGCCCAACGAACGCAGGACCTGTAAATCTTTGGGACGATCTGTCTTCCCCAAAAACAATACACCAACAAACGATCAGTCAGCGGATTTCGCAGGATTGCGCCCCAACGAACTGATTTTGCTTTACCAAAGTTTAGCCTCCTGTAAAACACTTATTGATATGGCCAACCATGGAAAAATATCGTTTCAGTCCGGAATCTATATACCCCATTTTTCGTTTTCGCAGGGATCAATGGGAGGTGTTTTTGGTTCACAGTTTTGAGACAATCCCACTGGTACCACATCTTGATCATCTTGGTTGTGAGGGATGCACTGTTGATCAACTCACCAGTGGATTTGTTTTAGAAAAGGAAAAAAGGAACATCTATCTGGACA